TCGTCACAGTCGCCCACTCTGACACCTCGCCACGTACCATGACTCACTGTTGTCTTCCTGATGGGTATTCCCTGATCCATTGTAGTGCCTTCCCTTTTATCCTTGGCTGGTCCTCCAACTTTTGCACTAATCTTTTGTGTGGAACTGTGTCAAACGCCTTCTTACAGTCCAAGAAAATGCATTCTACCGACTCCTCTCTCTCTCTCTTGTCTTACTGCTGTCACTCTGTTATAGAACTCCAGTAGGTATGTGGCACAGGATTTCCCGTCCCTTAAACCGTGTTGGCTGTCGTTGATAAACTCATTCCTTTCTAGGTGCTCCACCACTCTTCTCCTGATAATCCTAGCCATGACCTAGCATACTATACATGTCAGTGACACTGGTCTGTAGTTTAATATTTCGTGTTTGTCTCCTTTCTTAAAAACTGGGACTACATTTGCTGTCTTCCATACCTCAGTTAGTCGCCCTGTTTCGAAAGATGTGTTGAAGATTGTTGTTAGTGGCACACATAGCGCCTCTGCTCCCTCTCTCAGGACCCATGGAGAGATGTTAACTGGCCCCATCGCCTTTGAGGTATCTAGCTCGCTTAACAGCCTCTTCACTTCTTCCTCGGTTGTATGTATTGTGTACAACACTCGATATTCATTTCTGGCTCGACAACTGCTGTCCCTATTCTCCTGGGTCCTTTGCCTTCTATACTTCTTCCATTCTCTAGCACACTTGGTTTTGGCCTCCCTTCGCCTTTGGGTAAAGCAAAGGGTCATCCTGGCTTTTTCGTTATTTCTGTTACCCTTGGGTGTTACTCTTGTATGTGTGTGTGTGTGTGTGTGTGTGTGTGTGTGTGTGTGTGTGTGTGTGTGTGTGTGTGTGCGTGTACTCACCTAGTTGTACTCACCTAGTTGAGGCTGCAGGGGTCGAGTCCAAGCTCCTGACCCCGCCTCTTCACTGGTCGCTACTAGGTCACTCTCCCTGAACCGTGAGCTTTATCATATCTCTGCTTAAAGCTATGTATGGAACCTGCCTCCACTACATCGTTTCCCAAACTATTCCACTTCCTGACTATTCTGTGTGTGTGAGTGTGTGTGTGTGTGTGTGTGTGTGTGTGTGTGTGTGTGTGTGTGTGTGTGTGTGTGTGTGTGTGTGTGTGTGTGTGTGTGTACTTCACCTAATTGTAGTTGCAAGGATCGAGACTCAGCTCCTGGCCCTGCCTCTTCACTGAACGCTACTAGGTCCTCTCTCTCCCTGCTCCATGACCTTTATCATACCTCGTCTTAAAGCTATATATGGTTCCTGCCTCCACTACATCGTTCGCCAGACTGTTCCACTTCCTGACCACTCTATGACTGAAGAAATGCTTCCTAACATCCCTGTGGCTCATCTGAGTCTTCAACTTCCAAGAGTGACCCCTTGTTTGTGTGTCCCCTGATCAATTAGACACATGTGCAACTCTTGGGTATCTTTACTGAGGAAACGTTTCGCCACTGTGTCTAATTTATCAACGTGTCGGTTCTCTGAACATTCATCCACAATTCTGTGTCCCCTCTCTGGAACATCTTGTCTCTGTCCACCTTGTCTATTCCATGCAGTATTTTGTATGTAGTTATCATGTCTTCCCTATCCCTTCTGTCCTCCAGTGTCGTCAGGCCGATTTCCCTCAACCTATCTTCGTAGTACATTCCCCTTAGCTCTGGAACTAACCTTGTCGCAAACCTTAGCACTGTCTCTAATTTATTAACGTGCTTGACCCGGTGCGGGTTCCAAACTGGTTCTGCATACTCCAGTATGGGCCTGACGTACACGGTGTACAGTGTCTTGAAAAATTCCTTACTTAGGTATCGGAATGCTATTCTTAGGTTTGCCAGGCGCCCATATCCTGCAGCAGTTATCTGGTTGATGTGTGCTTCCGGAGACGTGTTCGGTGTTATACTCACGCCAAGATCTTTCTTCTTGAGCGAGGTTTGCAGTCGTTGGCCACCTAGCCTATACTCTGTCTGCGGTCTTCTTTGCCCTTTTCCGATCTTCATGACTTTGCATTTGGCAGAGTTGAATTCAAGAGGCCAGTTGCTGGACCAGGTGTCCAGTCTGTCCAGGTCTCTTTTAAGGCCTACCTGATCCTCATCTCATTTAATTCTCCTCATTAACTTCACATCTTCTGCAAACAGGGACACCTCCGAGTCTATCCCTTCCATCACGTCATTCATATATACCAAAAATAGCACTGGTCCTAGGACCGACCCCTGTGGGAACCCGCTCGTCACAGGTGCCCACTGTGATACTTCATCACGTACCATGACTCGCTGTTGCTTCCCTGTCAGGTATTCCCTGATCCATTGAAGTGCCCTTCCCGTTATACGCGCCTGATCCTCTAGTTTCTGCACTAATCTCTGGTGAGGAGCTGTGTTGAAGGTCTTCTTGCAGTCCAAGAAGATGCAATCAACCCACCCCTCTCTCTCGTGTCTTACTTCTGTTACTTTATCATACAACTCCAGAAGGTTTGTGACAGAGGATTTGCCTTCCATAAAACCTTGCTGGTTGTCATTTATACTTTTGTTCTGTTCCAGGTGCTCCACCACTCTCCTCCTGATAATCTTCTCCATGACTTTGCATACTATACACGTCAGTGACACTGATCTGTAGTTTAGCACCTCTTTTCTGTTTCCTTTTTTAAAAATGGGAACTACATTTGCGGTCTTCCATACCTCAGGTAGTTGGCCAGTTTCAAGGGATGTGTTGAAGATTGTGGTTAATGGGACACACAGCATTTCTGCTCCCTCTCTAAGGACCCACGGGAAGATGTTGTCCGGTCCCATTGCCTTTGAGGTATCAAGGTCACTTAGCAGCTTCTTCACCTCCTCCTCAGTTGTGTGTATGTCATCCAGCACTTGTTGGTGTATTCCCTGTTGGTGTCCCCCTCTGTCCTGTCTTCCCAGAGTCCTTCCTGTCTCCACTGTGAATACTTCTTTAAATCTGTTGTTGAGCTCCTCGCATATCTCTTGATCATTTCGTGTGAGTTCCCCACCTTCTTTCCTCAGCATGATTACCTGGTCCTTGACTGTTGTCTTTCTCCAAATGTGGCTATACAGCAGTTTCGGGTCAGACTTGACTTTTAATGCTGTGTAGTTTTCATGCTGTCGCTGGGCCTCCCTCCTTATCTGTACATACTCGTTTCTGGCTTTTCGACTGATCTCCTTATTTTCCTGGGTCCTTTGCCTTCTGTACCTCTTCCATTCTCTAATGCACTTAGTTTTTGCCTACCTACACCTTCGGATAAACCACGGACTAGATTTGGTCTTCCCATTAATTCTGTTGCTCTTGGGAACAAATTTTTTCTCTGCCTCATTGAATTTTGTTGTTACATATTCCATCATTTCGTTTACTAACTTTCCTACAAGTTCTCTGTCCCACTGAACCTCCTGCAGGAAGTTCCTCATACCTGTGCAGTCCCCCCTATTATAGTTTGGTTTCTCCCAATCACCTCCTGTTACCCTCTCCACTTGCAGCTCTTCCATGTAATCAAAACTGTGTGTGTACTCACCTCACCTAGTTGAGGTTGCAAGGGTCGAGTCCTAGCTCCTGGCCCCGCCTCTTCATTGGTCGTTACTAGGTCACTCTCCCTGAACCGTGAGCTTTATCATACTTCTGCTTAAAGCTATGTATGGATCCTGCCTCCACTACATCGCTTCCCAAAACCATTCCACTTCCTGACTACTCTCTGGCTGAAGAAATACTTCCTAACATCCCAGTGATTCATCTGTGTCTTCAACTTCCAACTGTATCTCCTTGTTGCTGTGTCCCATCTTTGGAACATCCAGTCTTTATCCACCTTGTCAATTCCTCTCAGTATTTTGTATGTCGTTATCATGTCCCCCCTATCTCTCTCCTGTCCTCCAGTGTCATCAGGTCGATATCCCTTTACCTCTCCTCGTAGGACATACCCCTTAGCTCTTGGACTAGTCTTGTTGCAAACCTTTGCACTTTCAGTAGTTTCTTTACGTGCTTGGCTAGGTGTGGGTTCCAAACTGGTGCCGCATACTCCAACATGGGCCTAACGTACACGGTGTACAGGGTCCTGTACGATTCCTTATTAAGATGTCGGAATGCTGTTCTGAAGTTTGCTAGGCGCCCATATGCTGCAGCAGTTACTTGGTTGATGTGCGCTTCAGGAGATGTGCCTGGTGTTATACTCACCCCAAGATCTTTTTCCGTGAGTGAGGTTTGTAGTCTCTGGCCCCCTAGACTGTACTCCGTCTTCGGTCTTCTTTTCCCTTCACCAATGTTAATTGACTTTGCGCTAGGTGGGGTTCAACTCCAGGAGCCAATTGCTGGACCAGGTCTGCATGTGTGTGTGTGTGTGTGTGTGTGTGTGTGTGTATGTGTGCACTCGCCTAACTGTTCTCACCTAATTGTGGTTGCAGGGGTCGAGACTCAGCTCCTGGCCCCGCCTCTTCACTGATTGCTACTAGGTCCTCTCTCTCTCTGCTTCCTGAGCTTTGTCATACCTCGCCTTAAAGCTATGTATGGTTCCTGCATCCACTACGTCACATGCTATTCCACATCCTGACGACTCTATGACTGAAGAAATACTTCCTAACATTCCTGTGACTCGTCGAAGTCTTCAGCTTCCAATTGTGACCCCTTGTTTCTGTGTCCTCTCTCTGGAACATCCTGTCTCTGTCCACCTTATCTATTCCACGCAGTATCTTGTATGTCGTTATCATGTCTTCCCTAACCCTTCTGTCCTCCAGTGTCATCAATCCGATTTCTCTCAACCTTTTATCGTAGGACATTCCCCTGAGCTCTGGAACTAACCTTATTCCAAACCTTTGTACTTTCTCTAATTTCTTTACTATACACGTACTATAAAATGTGTGTGAATGTATTTTAGTGGTTTTCTTTGTGCTTAATAATATTTTATTACGTGTAAACTACACTTTGTTTACTACACGAAGAAACAAAATTGATTGTTCTGTTGATACTAACGGAGGTGTTTGTCTTGACAGAGGAGTGTCACGCCCGTAACCTGCGTGCCTGTGGCATCAGGGTCATTGATGAGTTCAACCACGAGTTGGGTCACCCGGAGATGTGCAGGGTCAGGGAGGTGAGTCATGAGTCGGGTAGAAGAGTCATGAATCGGGGAGGTGAGTCATGAAGAGTCAGGGAGGTGAGTCAAGACCTGACTCTAACTCACCAATCCACAGCTCCCTCAATCATCTAACCCAAACCCACTGCTCTCTCACTCTATTAACCCACCAACCCACTGCTCCCTCACTCTACTAACTCACTGCTCCCTCACTCTGCTAATCCAGCAACCCATTGCTCTCTCACTATACTAACCCACCAACACACTGCTCCCTCACTACTAACCCACCAACCCACTGCTCCCTCACTCTACTAACCCACCAACCCACTCCTCCATCGCTCTACTAACCCACCAACCCACTGCTCCCTCACTCTACTAACCCACCAACCCACTCCTCCATCGCTCTACTAACCCACCAACCCACTGCTCCCTCACTCTACTAACTCACTGCTTCCTCACTCTGCTAATCCAGCAACCCATTGCTCTCTCACTCTACTAACCCACCAACACACTGCTCCCTCACTACTAACCCACCAACCCACTGCTCCCTCACTCTACTAACCCACCAACCCACTCCTCCATCGCTCTACTAACCCACCAACCCACAGCTCCCTCACCCTACTAACCCACCCACCAACCCACTACTCTTTCACTCTCCTAACCCATTAACCCACTGCTCTCTAACTCTACTAACCCACCAACCCCCTGTTCTCTCACTCTATTAACCCACCAACCCACTGCTCTATCACTCTACTAACCCACCAACCCACTGCTCCCTCACTACTAACCCACCAACCCACTGCTGCCTCACCCTACTAACCCACCAAACGACTACTCACTCTACTAACCCACCAACCCACTGCTCCCTCACTACTAATCCACCAACGTACTGCTGCATCACTCTACTAACCAACCAACCCACTGCCCCCGCGCTCTACTAACCCACCCACCAAGTCATTGCTCTCTCATTCTACTAACCCACCAACCCATTGCTCTCCCACTCTACTAAACCATCAACCAAATGCTCTCTTAATCTACTAACCCACCAACAAACTGCTCCCTCTCTCTACTAACACACCAACCCACTGCTCTCTCACACTACTAACCCATCAACCAACTGCTCTCTCACTCTACTAACCTACCATCCCACTGCTCCTTCACTTTACTAACCCATTAACACACTGCTCTCTCAAACTACTAACCCACCAACCCACTGCCCCCTCACTATATAAACCCACCAACCCACTGCTCTCTCACTCTACTAACCCACCAACCCACTGCTCTCTCACTCTAGTAATCCATCAACCTACTGCTCTCTCACTCTAGTAACCCAAAACCCCACTTCTCCCCCACTCTACTAACCCACCAAACCACTGCTACCTCAATCTCCTAATCCACCCACGATCCCACTGCTCCCTCACTCTGATAACTCACCAACCCACCAACCCACTGCTCTCTCACTCTGCTTACCCATCAACCCACTGCTCACTCACTCTACTAACCCACCAACCCACTGCTCTCTCACTCTACTAACCCACCAATCCACTGTTCTCTCACTCAACTAACTCACCAACTCACTCATCTAAAAGTCTACTAACCCACCCATGAGCCCACTGCTCTCTCACTCAACTAACCCACCAACCCACTGCTCTGTCACTCTACTAACCCACCAACTCACTGCTCTCTCTACTAACTCACCAACTCACTGCTCTCTCACTTTAATATCACATCCACCAACCCACTGCTCTCTCGATCTACTAACCCACCAATCCACTGCTCCCTCACTCTGCTAACCTACCAACTCACTGTTCTCTCATTCTACTAACCCACCCACCAACCCACTGCTCCCTCACTTTACTAACCCACCAACGCACTGCTCTCTCAATCTACTAACTCATCAACTCACTGCTCTCTCACTCAACAAACCCACCCACCAACACACTGCTCTTTCACTCTACTAACCCACCAATCCACTGCTCCCTCGCTCTACTAACCCACCTACTCACTGCTTTCTCATCCTACTAACCCACCAACTCACTGTTCTCTCATTCTATTAACCCACCCACCAACCCACTGCTCCCTCACTTTACTAACCCACCAACGCACTGCTCTCTCAATCTACTAACTCACCAACTCACTGCTCTCTCACTCAACAAACCCACCCACCAACACACTGCTCTTTCACTCTACTAACCCACCAATCCACTACTCCTTCGCTCTACTAACCCACCAACTCACTGCTCCCTCACTTTACTAACCCACCAACCCACTTCTCCCTCACTCTACTAACCCCTAAACCCACTTCTCCCTCATTCTATCAACCCACCAACCTACTTCTCCCCCACTCCACAAGCCCACCAACAAACTCCTCTCTCACTCTACTAAACCACCAACCCACTTCCCCCGCACTAGACTAACCCACCAAGCAACTTCTCCCTCGCTCTACTAATCCACCAACCCACTTCTCCCTCACTCTACTAACCCACCAACCCACTTCTCCCTCACTCTAGTAACCCATTAACCCACTTCTCCGTCACTCTACTAACCCACCAACTCAATTCTCCCCACACTCTTTCAACCCATCAACCCACTTCTTCTTCACTCTACAAACCCACCAACCCACATCTTCCACACTCTACTAACCCACCAACCCACATCTCACTCACTCTACTAACCCACCAACCCACTTCTCCGTCACTCTACTAACCCACCAACCCACTTCTCCCTCGCTCTACTGACCCACCAACCCACTTCTTCCTCACTCTGCTAACCCACTAACCCACTTCTCCGTCACTCTACTAACCCACCAACCCACTTTTTCCTCACTCTACTAGCCAACCAACCCACTTCTCTCTCACTCTACTAACCCACCAACCCACTTCTCCCTCACTCTACTAACTTCTCCCTCACTCTACTAACCCACCAGCCCACTTCTTCCTCACTCTACTAACCCACCAACCCACTTCTCCCTCATTCTACTAACCCATCAACCAACTTCTTCTCACTCTACTAACCCACCAAAACACTTGTCCCTCACTCAACTAACACACCAAGCCACTTCCCCCTCTCCTACTAACCCACTTCACTCTCATTCTACTAACTTACCAACCCACTTCTTCCTCTCTCTAATAACCCACTCACCCACTTCTTTTTCACTCTACTAATCACCAACCCACTTCTCCCTTACTTTACTAACCCATCAACCCACTTCTATCTCATTCCACCAACCCACCAACCCACTTCCCTCTCTCCACTAACCCACCAACCCACTTCTCCCTCATTCTACTAACTCACCAACCCACTTCTCCCTCACTTTACTAACTCATAAACCCACTTCTCCTTCACTTTAATAACCTACCAGCCCACTTCTCCCTCACTCTACTAACCCACCAACCAACTTCTCCCTCACTCTACTAGCTCACCAACCCACTTCTCCCTCACTCTACTAACCCACCAACCCACTTCTTCCTCAGTCTACTAACCCACCAACCCACTTCTCCCTCACTTTACTAACCCACCAACCCACTTCTTCCTCAGTCTACTAACCCACCAACCCACTTCTCCCTCACTTACTATCCACCAACCCACTTCTTCGTCAGTCTACTAACCACCAACCCACTTCTCCCTCACTTTACTAACCCACCAACCCACTTCTTCTCAATCTACTAACCCACCAACCCACTTCTTCCTCAGTCTATAACCCACCAACCCACTTCTCCCATACTTTACTATCCCACCAAACCACTTCTTCCTCAGTCTACTAACCCACCAACCCCACTTCTCCCTCACTTTACTATCCCCCCCAACCCACTTCTTCCTCAGTCTACTAACCCCCCAAACCCACTTCTCCCTCACTTTACTAACCCACCAACCACTTCTCCCTCACTTTACTAACCCACCAACCCACTTCTCCCTCACTATACTAACCCACCAACCCACTTCTCCCTCACTTTACTAACCCACCAACCCACTTCTCCCTCACTTTACTAACCCACCAACCCACTTCTCCCTCACTTTACTAACCCACCAACCCACTTCTCCCTCACTTTACTAACCCACCAACCCACTTCTCCCTCACTTTACTAACCCACCAACCCACTTCTCCCTCACTTTACTAACCCCCAACCCACTTCCCTCACTTTACTAACCCACCAAACCCACTTCTCCCTCACTTTACTAACCCACCAACCCACTTCTCCCTCACTTTACAAACCCCACTAACCCACTTCTCCCTCACTTTACTAACCCACCAACCCACTTCTTCCTCACTCTACTAACCCACCAACCCACTTCTCCCTCACTTTACTAACCCACCAACCCACTTCTCCCTCACTTTACTAACCCACCAACCAACTTCTCCTCACTTTACTAACCCACCAACCCTCTTCTTCCTCACTCTACTAACCCACCAACCACTTCTCCCTCACTTTACTAACCCACCAACCCACTTCTCCCTCACTTTACTAACCCACCAACCCACTTCTCCCTCACTTTACTAACCACCAACCCACTTCTCCCTCACTTTACTAACCCACCAACCCACTTCTCCCTCACTTTACTAACCCATCAACCCACTTTCTCCCTCACTTTACTAACCCACCAACCCACTTCTCCCTCACTTTACTAACCCACCAACCCACTTCTCCCTCACTTTACTAACCCCCCAAACCCCACTTCTCCCTCACTTTACTAACCCACCAACCCACTTCTCCCTCACTTTACTAACCCACCAACCCACTTCTCCTCACTTTACTAACCCACCAACCCACTTCTCCCTCACTTTACTAACCCACCAACCCACTTCTCCCTCACTTTACTAAACCCATCAACCCACTTCTCCCTCACTTTACTAACCCACCAACCCACTTCTCCCTCACTTTACTAACCCACCAACCCACTTCTCCCTCACTTTACTAACCCACCAACCCACTTCTCCCTCACTTTACTAACCCACCAACCCACTCTAGATGAACTAAGAAGATTTATTTTCTTCAGAATTTTATTGAATTTAAAGCATT